GGGGGGGGCTTGAAGTGTTTGCGTTCGACAACGGAACGGAGTTCGTGTATAAGACGGGTGCTGATATTTGCCAACGGAACGGCATCATTCACCAGCGTCCCATTCCATACAGCCCTTAGTAGAATGGAGTGGTGGAACGCATGAACCTCGCTATCACGGAGAAGGCACGTAGCATGTTGCGCTGCAAGTCCATGTCGACTGAGTGGTTGACGGAAGCAGTAAGTACGCAGTGTACCTCACCAATCGTTCCATAAACACGGAGAACTTTGATGTCACGTCATACGAGTCGGCGTTCCAATCGAAACCGCTGTTGGATCATTTGCGCGTATGGTTTGCAAGGGTACGCACACGTTGATGATGTGAAGAGAGCGAACCTCGAGCCCAAGTGTTTCAGGAGCACGTCTCTCCGGTACGCCGAGAAGGTTAATAGATATCATTTTACACGTGGGGTGCGTCCTGGATCAAGGTGTCGCGGTCAGTGGACCTAGATAAGCGTTAAATAGAAGGTATTTACGATACGCAGTCTCCAGCACCCACAACGGTTGTCCAGGTGACGACGAACGGTGCTGAATCTATCGTTTCAACGCAAGTGGAGGAAATGGAGTACATGGCGCAGATCCTGTGCATGCAAGAGGTACTGTGGACGCGTGCGATGCTCAAGGACATGGGTCAAGAGCAAGTGAGAGCGACGCAGATATGGGAGGACAACAAAGGTACCAATGCAATAGCAAGGAACGCCGTATACCGCGCAGGTACAAGCACATCGACATCCGTCTCCACTTCACTCGTCAGAACGTGGAACGTGCAACGATCAAGATGGGCTACGGCAACACGAAGTTCCAACTGGCGGATATTCTAACGAAGGCGTTTGAAACAAACCCTGGCGTTGCAGTAGCTTATTCAACTTATTTTATCAAAGGTGCCAGCTTCTAACTGTATCCACGTGCATGAACTGATAGATTACTACAAAATTCTAAGTATTGATTTTACTGTTATTCCGTACACTAACCCTTGATTCCCGAAAAGGGTGTCGAGAACGCATTAGCGAACGTCGTATCTTACGACGAAACCGTGTCACTACAAATGTGTATATGCCAGATGTTGCACTTGCATATCACTGTATAAGTTTTGGTGAGATTTTTTCAGCAACGTCATAAGTTCTACACCGTTTCCGCCATCCGCAGGAAGTGAATGTCGTAACTTGCACCGAAGTGGTTCCAGCGCCGGGAATAATGCGGGAAGAAATGATTCGGGGCTTACGAATATGAACCCAGACAGTCGGACAACGGTGAACAAAAGATGCATTCAATCAGTGAAACAGGCATTGCAAATCTGACTACATCGAGCACTCATCACATGTTGCCCAGACGAAACCTACTAGTGATCGCTCTCATTTTCGTCATCTCCATTGTTCTCATCACCGCGTAGTCGAAGCTCCCGACGAATTTTCTTCCGCTCACCAGCTCGCTGTCCTGGGCGTCTCAAAACAACACGCTTCCCCTAGTTTCTAGGTATTGCTTACCCGCCTTCGAAATCGTCGTGCCATATTTCAAAGCAGGTCTTCTCGACGCCCTTGTAGTACCGTCGAATCTTATTGCAGAGCCAGCATTTGGTGTCATCGATTGAGCAGCGTTCGCAGAAGAAGGTCGTCACGAACGGCTTTTTCTTGGTATTGGTGCGCAAGAGCGCGCATACCTTGCAAGATCTTTGCCGCCGCTTTTGTGTGCCGCTCACTGTCACCCAGTCATCACACTGTTCAAGCGCGTGGGTCGCGCGCAGCGGCGTTCGCTTACGTTTCTGGCTTGGCGGGGGAGTTACCTCTACGCCCAAGAAATTTTCTGCCTTGAGTTGCAGAAGCTGGTTGTGAAGGACAATGTACCATTCTCCTCGTTTTATCGCCACCGTCCCGCTAATCCTCGCTGACTCCTTGTGCGAAATGTAGGCGTTCACTAGCGCGAGATCGAGAAGGCCCAAAAATAAGCTCTTGTAGTATTTCTTGAACTTTGTAGACATTTGTTGTGAGTGCTTCTGGAGGCGGAGTTGATCATGGACGTCAACTCCGCCCATCCAACGCTGGTGGTCACTTACTGCGTCAGGACAGGGTACAGTAATTCGGCCAACCTGCTTGATATTGCGGTCAATACTCGACTCGGTCATTGCAACCCCCGTGCACAAGTAATGCACGGGCTTCCTATCCCACCAATGGAAGGGCACCATGCTTGGAATAGCAACAGAGCACGAGTAGGTAAAGCTGCCGCGAGGTATACGTCTTGGCCGAGTCTGCCGTTTCACCTTGACACGCTGATCATACCCAAGTCGGTTGGTCCTAATGGTCCCGATGACGTACACGTGCATGCTAAGAAGCTCGATAGCTAGCAAAATGGATGAGTAATACCGATCAACGTGCCATGGTTGCCTTGTACTTGAGCCTAACACAGTCTTCAAGTTCCTGACGACAGTGGCAGCGCCAGTGTTGTGGTCAAATACCGTTTCAGCTTTAGTGTCTCTCCTCTTGCCGGCATACATTTCAAACCTAGAAGTAAGATACGACATAGACCGTTAGATATCAATCTGATGCCATAGGTTACGACATACGAAATATCGTACCTGTGACAGTATGCGCTCCTGGAGTCGCACGGCATAAACAGTTTTGAGCCATACCTATGCGGCTTATCGGGCATGAACATCCGGGTTGGGCTTCGCTTGGAGGTTGCTGGAAGCACGCCTTCATCAAAGGAGAATACGGAGGGGAGGGTCCACCCGGTAAGCAATTTCTGCTGCAGCTTATCGATAATTGGACGCAGCTTCCACAGTTTGTCCCGCGAACGATCCGCATCGTTATCGACAAAGTGTAGGTCCCGTAGTATGTCTTGGCATCTATTTCGGCTCATATATCGACCAAGTTTCCAGCGAGTACAGCAACATCCTCAACCATCGACCAGTGACTTGCAAAGCGCCTCTGTTGGGGGCAGAGCATTCGTGCAATCAGCAAACCGACAACGTGAAGGATCTCGTGGGTATCATACCCCCGTTTCGACTTCAACCTGCGGCGGATCTGCTTCAATGTTTGGCGCCGGCCATCAGGCTGCTTTCCACGTATCACTTCTCCACGTCGTGGTACTTGCTGCAATCCGTATCGATTCGTTTCAATACCAATCGATATCCATAGAGACTTTGGCACGAAATAGAATAGAGTAAGTAGAGGGGAGTGAGCCACGGTACGTAAAGCAGACACTGGGCGCGCGTCCTCAATCTTCAACCCAGGGTATGCTTGCGCATCCGTCTCAAACCCAACCGCCAGAGGTCTCACTCCGCCGCGCGCAATGCATTCTCACGTTGTTGTACCGCTTGAGGTCTCGAGGCGTCGTCTCCGAGTCGAAGTGAGTCAACGAATGCTTGATCCATCTCGATAGCGTCGTCTTCCGACACGACATCGTCTTGTTCATCTCTATAACCTCTATTGAGATCGTCGCTGTCACTGTTATCTTCATTGACGTTGTCATCACTTGATCCTGAGCTACAGCTCTCATACGCGTTCATGTTCTCGGTCTCCGGTATGTAGTTTACGTCAGTCTTGATATTACGGCGCGCTCTGTGTGCCGGTGCTGTGGCTGGCAACGGGTCCAGTTGGGAGTCGCTCTCCATTCCAGATGCCTCTGACAGAAACTGGACACTTTGGGCGGCATCATGATGCTGTTCGAGCTCAGTTGGCGACAAATCGAACTCCCTTGTTACCGCTTCCTGGGACAGCTCGACGTCTGAATCACTGGACGATCCGAAAAGATCGTTCAGCGTATTCTGTGAAAGCTCAGCAGTAGTGTCAATTTGAGAAGATCGAATTTAGTCGACTCGTTCGTTGCCCTTGTCGCTCTTATTGACCTTGTCGCCCTCATTGCCCTTGTTGCCGTCATCGCCTTCGTTGCCACCCTTGCTCTTGTCACCGGCGTTGCCCTCATTGCCGTCATCGCCATCCAGCTGCCCGGACTTGATCACATACTCCATCATTGCACTTTCTCCTACAAGAACTGCCGAGCCATTGGGGTTCATGTACGTCCACTCCTGCTCAATACCTCTTGGTCTCTTGTTCGTCCACCCTATATGCCGCCGCAAATGAGGAATGCGACGGCAGTAGCAGCGGTCTCCGTCCTGCGTTTCGATCGTGTGCGCCCCATGGCTGCAGTAGCAGCAGTCTCCGGCCGGCGTCCGTATCGTGTGCGCCCTCTGGCAAAAAAATTCCGTAATTAGTGATAATCGTGTGCGTGTGCGCCTGATCCTCTGGAAACCTTCCCGCAGTTTCCAGTGTGCCGCCCCGTTTCTATATTGTCCCAATTTACCTCTCGGACCTTATCGTTTTAAAATGACTTGATTAAAGTATTGGAATTCTGATTTCGTGCCATTTTCTGTTGTTCGTTGGCGTATGTCGTATCTTACGACATAAAAATGATTATGGCGTAAGATACGACGTTGGGAACCAGGGGGCTAAGTGAGACCTGCAGGAAGTTACACATCATGGGCTGACAGTGTCACCTAAGCGTGCGTTCGTAGACGTCGGCTTATATCGACATAAATTCCGGAGGACCTCCCTAAAGATGCTATTGGATCCGGCTGGCCCCTCCGAGACGATAATGGTATGATTCAATCTAAAACCTCTTTTGTCATATTCATCGCCAATTATTGTCCCAATATCATATTCTGTTGCAACTGCCTAGTCCAATAATAAAAATTTATATTGCAAACCCAATTATTTATTGAATCATAATTATTTTTCCAACCTCTGTATTTCGATCCAACGCTTAACGGACTTATATGAGCTTCTAATGTAATCGGTCGTGCACGACACCGGTGCACCGTGTCTCTAGAATTCGCTTGCGCCGAATAGCTTATAATGTTCGATCCTTTATCCAGCAAGTGTGTCACTTATTCCTCAGGGAAGAAGTAACACCACGCAGTATTACGGTTCATGGAAGCGATATCTTTATGAACCGTAATACTGTACATTCTGTGAACACAGTTATGAACAGTTGTTTTACTTCTTTTTTTTTTACCGTTTCTTGTGGCTGCAAAATGTTTTAAATAAGTAAGAAAGTGTTATGCAAAACCTAAACTTTTGATTTGATTTTTTGTGAAAATCAACGAGTTTGGATTGAGATTTCCCATAAATCATTTTCCACCGTGACAGTTCGATTACTGGGAACAATTCTCTATCATGTCAGTAACCGACAAATACGGCTTTTATCGTCCACGCATCCACTACGTGTTCGTGGAGGACGATCCTGATGATATGACGCGTTAGAGTCGACTGGTTTCGGGAGCCACCGTCCTACCACTTGTTAATAGTGTGAGATACCATGAGTACATACTTTTATAAAGTTAATTCAAGTGTTCTGATCAATTTATATGGATGCAAACGTGTCTAAAGTAAGAATGTCTGATATCATTATACCGAAAATTCATCTGATTAGCTTGGGCGTTGCACAGGATAGCTAATAGGATTTGAAGTCCGGCTTTCGTCACATACCGAAGATCACGGTCCCAAATTTGCATCCGTAAAATCAAGGGACCCTAAGGTGCTATCGTCCATTCAAGAATTTGCTTTCTACCGCAAGAAGCAACATGCGCTTCAGCAACTGCTTCATCCTTCTCGTAGCTATTTCTATAGGATGCTTCACCAGCCACGCCAATGCCGAGAACGGTGCCCTCACCAACAGTGCAAGAAACAATGCTCGCCGTCTACACATCGAGGCCGCAAATGCAGACAAAGTTGCTCAGCTTACATCTGGATTCATCAAGAAACTGAAGGATAATGCCGCGCTCAGGAAAGTCACTAACATCGCCAAGGTCAACGAAGATGACGCTGCGATCAGAAACGCTGCCAAAGCTGCTGCTGCCAAGGAGGGGGTCAAACTAAGTGACGAATCGGTAAGCAAGGTGGCGAAAAAGCTGGCTGAAGTTACCAAGACGAAGCCCAAGTTGTGGTCTCACCTCGGCAGCTACGCCGTTTTGGCGTGGCAGTTGATAGTTGGTGGGCTTGCTGGTGTCGGCGTGGTCCACCTGCTGCGGAAGGACAAGAATTCTACCCAGACAGCGACGTCTGTGTCGGGTTCTAGGAACTGACGTCCATGGCGATAAACTTGTGGCTGCTCGTGCAGTATCGAGTCATTGTGATGGGTCTCTTCTACTATCAGCTTCGCTGGTAACACAGAACCAGACACGACGTATTTTCCACATGCTTACTCTGTATTTTGTTTCATTTTCTGTGGGTATGGCTAGATCTGGCGTGGGCGTTAACGATGCTAACAGAAATTCTTGGCCAAGCACTGGACTATGGCCTATTTATTAGCCCTGCCAGATCATTGTCCAAGACTGTGTTACCGAAGAATAGACCC